CAAGTAGGAAGCCGCGGTGGACCCCTCGCCCGCCCGCCCGCGACCTCGGAGTCGGGGGCGGGGACGCGAGCAGCTAGCAAACTGCCGGGGCTTCAAGGCTGGGGCGAACGAGGGTGTGCGGAGGAGGCAGAGGAGTCCTAATTTCTAGCAGCCGTTAGCTTCGAATTTGAAATCTGGACCTGTTTGGGGCGTCACTTTGAGAGGGTTTCTCTCGCTTCCTCTGATTCCCGTGGCTACCACTCCCTCCTTCCGAAGTGCCCCCAGGGCTGGAACAGGGAGTGCGGGCCGCTCCGAGGCGCGCTCCCACGCGCGCACCCCCAGCCCCAGGCTTCCCCTTTCTTCTCTCCCTTCACTCTCCACGCCCAGGCTGCGTCGGCCCCCCTCCCCGGGAGAGACAGGACTCGGAAGCCCCTCTCCGAGTTTGGTTTGGTTCTCTCTGGCGCTTTGGAGCTGTCCGGAGGGTTAAGTCTGCCTCGTGCCCTGAAAAGAAACTGGAGATGCAGGTCGCTGCTCTCTCCTGCGGCTACGCTGGCGCGCCAGGTCTTGCCATCCTTTCGCAAGGGGTGTGTGAGCGGGAACGGCCCTGCCCTGTCCTTCAGGTACCAACCAAATCCCAAGCCTGGGCGCGGGGTGGTGGTCCGGACAGTGGCTCTTGGGTCCCCGCACAGCTGTCGACTCCTTGGCAGTTCAGTGTGCAGACCCGCCGGACACGACTGCCAAGACAATGAGATGGGAACCGGGCATCTCCCCGCGGCTCACTCAAGCTTGCGGTCCGTGACTTTCCATCCCAGCTTCAGACAGCAGGCCCGCGAGTAACTGGCCATCCTTCCCAGCCTGGGGGTGGAGTATGGGGGGAGCGTAAAAACTCTCAAGCTGCTCCTCCGCGGTTAATGAGTCGCCTGGGGGACTCCGCCTGACAGCGGCGCGAAGCATGGCAGAACAACCCAGTTCCCTCCGTCAAGAAATTTCCATTTAAGTCTGAGAAAGTCATAAAACTGCGAAGTCTCGGCAGTTGTGGCGGCAGACCCAGCGTCTGGGAGAAAAATCCTAGAGGGTGGAGAGCCCAAGGACACCGGCTTCTCAGAATCTCCACCCTACCCCTATATGCTGTAATGTACACCGTGAGAGATGTGCCGCAAGTTAAGACTGGCTGTGTCTCCCACCCCCTTTGACACTCGGGCGGCCCAAAGCCCGCGAGGAGGCCACGGTGCCTCTGGCTTCGGCCTCTGGCCTTCGGCAGCACTGTCTTATATAGCATAAGCAGTTAAAAACATCAGAGTCAGCGTGGAGAAACTGAAAGGAAGCCAGGCTTGGGAAATTCTTCCAACAGAGTGGACCCCTTGCCCTCGCCCCCGCCCCCCAAAATATGAAAGAAAACGATCATTAAGTTAAACCGAAGGAAGAACTAAGCTTCCACCACAAAACCATAGCATATCGCGGCAAGGTAGTGATTCCTTGTGCCTTATTTTTTCCAGAAGCCTAAAACCGAGGCAGTGCTAAGATAAAAAAGTCTTATTTCAGCTGTCTCCGCCTCTCAGAAATACTCTCCCAACTCCCTCCTGTACACACACCCACGCCCGCGACAGCTCCTTTCTGCCTGTCAGTAGTTTATTTAAATGCGTTACTTTTACTTTTTATTGTTATTGCTGTTATTTTCGTGAAGCCCTCTTGCCAGCTCCTGGCCACTGGCAAGACCCTGCTTTCCTACCCTACTTTACCCCAAGCCTCTCGGTGGCGGGCACTAGCTTAGAGCCGCTCCAAGCATCTGGCAGCGGTGCCACGTGACTGTTCGCCAAGCACCAATACCCAGAGTCACTCTCGCTTTCCCCTAATACACTTCACACCCACGCGCTGTGGAGGTGCAAGAGAGATTGCTCCGTGCCCAGCTATTCGAGGCAGATGCAGAGAGCACCCTGGAGCAAGCTCTCCAATCCTAAGGCTGCACGAGGGCCGTGACAAGGGCTGGGGGGAGTTTGCTGTTGCTATATTTAGACTCCCCGCGGAGTTTCTGGGCAGGGAGTTTCAGGGCGAAAGATCTAGACTTAAAATGACTCGCGTGCACGCTTTAAACTTGAAAATCCTGGCTTTTCTGCAGGGAGGAAGAAAACCATTTCCTCTTAACCAAGAGATTTTCTTTCTTGGAAGCATCACCACGGCTGCGTAGGTCAGGTCCCCTCCATCTCACTGGTGTGGCTGGGCCCAGAGTGCAGGCAGGAAGTCTCTGGAAGGCAGGACACCAACACGTTTTCCCCGGAAGAGATCCAGAAGCTTAATTACCCAGTGATTCTTTCCTGAGGGCGCAGCAATAATACAAGTGAAACCATGATGTTGATTGAGCTAATGTCATTAAACTTAAAAAAAAAATCAGATCCAGTTATTAGTAGCGATTTAGAGCTGGGAAGGACCTTTGGGATCACCTCTTTTAGAGCAACCTCCAGATAGAGAGCCCAGAGGAGACCCTCCCAAGCATTGACAGATAGTTAGTACGAGGGTTAGTAGGAACCCAGCAATCTCGCCTCACAGTTCAGTATGCCTTCCACCCAGAGGGCTGCATCTCCAACAGAGTAAGTATTTAAAAAGCACATGGCTTTGTTTTAGTGTCTCTGCCTCCTATCATTGGGAAAGAGGTGTTTAACTGCAAGCCCTGGCCATCCTGCCCTTGCATGCTGGGGAAGGAAGGCCAAGTAAGGCTGCACAACCTCTCTCCTACCAGATTCTCTGTATGTACCTTGCTTTACTACCCACCAACTTCCCTCAAAAGGCAGGAATTAAGTGTGGGGGAAACAAAGTGTTGTGATTAAGCTTTTTCTGTTGTTGTGCCTTTGAATACAGGTGTTGCTAGGAAACTGCCTTTCATTCTTTTTGCTGAAATATTAAAACCCAAATATCAGAAGAGAGGGTGGGCATATTGGGCAAAGAATAAAACTATATCGTGTATATTCTGTGCATAATAATTACACTAGAGTATTATAAAGAGGTATAAAGGTAAAAGACAACCACCTTTTTAAAAGGCAAATATTTATTGTTAGTGTAGAGCCTGTGAGTTGATTGGCCTTCCCTATCCTTTGGAGATAGGTTTGCTTTCAACTGTTCATTCTCTACACATTGTGAGATGCCTGCCTGAAATTCATGACCTTGGAAACTTTTATTCTCTGAAGTATACATGGAGATGGTTTCAATTGCAAATAGTTACTAGAAATATTTTATTTCAGTGTGTTTTCTATCCCATTATATTTTTCTTCTGAAGGATACTCTAACATACATAGTAATACCGAAAATTCTATACAAGAGCTAGAGATGCCTAAGAAAGACTTTTCAAGCAGAATAACTAGATCTGAGCTGGTTTCACAAAATGTCAGTGACCCTATTGCTCTCCTCTTTTCATTCCTCTCTGTATCTCCCCATTTTCCCATTTGCCCCAGCCCTACCATCTCAACACATCTTCTCATTAAGTTATGTTCATGTTTCTGATCAACTAGTGAGTAATATAAGTACCATTTTTAGTGAAGTGGGTGCACTGTGATCCACTGTGAAATTCCTGGGCTGATGAGAATGGCAATGATAAATAGAACTCTCAAACCTTAGAGCAAAAAGGAAATTTACTGATGAAGAAGTGGAAATCCATTGCCGGCTGCTGTTCAATGACTTGTTCAAGGCTCAGCTATTTGCCTTGTAGACCTAGAGACAGAAATGAAGTCTCCTAGCTCCTGAATAAATTACCCATTAAACTATGCCACCCTTTCCCTCAGCTTTTATTTCTTTCCTATCAGGTTATAACCAAACCAATAAGTATAGCAACAATAATTGCATTTGTTAGGTATCTTATTATAACCATTGGTTCAGTAAACATATTTACCTCCTCTTATTATTTTAAATGTGTCAACATTGTGTAGCACAGTACCGTTTTTAATCTATCAAGAATTCTTATTTGTAAGAGATATGATGCTAAATTTCTCAAGATGTTTGTCCAACAAGCAGAAATTAATCAGAGAACCCAGGGCAACATTAGAGATCATTTGAGCCTGGTCAGACTACCTAAAGGTTCTAGCGCAATAGGGATCCCAGTGCTGCCCCATAAGGTAGATGAAACATAGGCCTTTCACAACAGCCTTTGCCCCAGGGATGCAGAATGAGTATAGGTATGAGTGTGAACAGAGGCTGGTAGGGGAGCAGACAGCAGAAAAGAACTGAAAAGTTTTCACCATTTTCATTCCAGCAACTATCAAAATTTATTCTCCTAAGAATTACTAAAATGATGTACTGATCACCATTGTCAAAACAAAATAATAGCAAGTACTTAACGTATGTTGCTATGCTCTAGGTATTGTGATTTCCAAGAATTATTTCACTTGATTCCGACAATAACTGGGCACTGTATTCAAATCCAGTTTATAGAGCAAGAAACTGAGGTGGGGACAATTTAATAATTTTTCAAAACTAATAAGTATTTGAGCCAAGGCTCAAGGTTATGGATATTGAATGCAAAACAAAACAAAACAAAACCCACAAAAACAAAAACAAACCAGATTTTTAACACTAAATTATATTAACTTTTGAAATAAAAAAATGCTATTGTATGTTAGTAATTTGACAATTTCTCTTTCCAAAAGAGAAATATTGGAAAGTTTCTATTTGTTGTTTGAAAGTAAGATTTTAGGTTTTATTCTAAACGCAGAGATTTCAATATTCCTCTTCACTTTTTCTGCAGAAGGATTTCCCTGCAGATACTTTTTTTTGGTATTGAAAGTTTTAAAACAGTCTCAAATCTTTTAGTATCAATTTCTTGAAACTGTGTTTACATTTTGATATTTTTCCTAACTCTACCTTCA